AAAAAAAAAAAAAAAAAAAAAAAAAAAAAAAAAAAAAAAAAAAAAAAAAGCAGAAAAGAAACTATTAAGATCACTACTAAGACAACAATAATGCCATCCTCGTGCTCGGGTTCATGTTTACATCTGCTGGAAACCATATTTTATCTGAAATAAGTCCTCTCTGAAGTGGAATAAATATACAGTGAGTGGTATAAACCAGGAACAGAAAGATAAACATCACATGTTCTCACTTATATGTAGGAGCCAAAAAAGTTGACCTCGTGGAGATAGAGAGTAGAATGACAGTTATCAGAGGCCAGAAAGGAGATGGGGGATGGGGGAGGATAAAGAGAAGTAGGTCAGTGGGTATGAACATACAGTTACAAAGAAATAAGTTCCGGGTTCAACAGTACAATAGCATGACTATATTTAACAATATATTGTATATTTTAAGAGAGAAGATTTTCAATGTTCCCAACACAAAAAAGATCAATGTTCTACATGATATCCTAAATGTGCTTACTCCATAGTTATTCATTCTACACATGTATCAAATATCACATGTGCCTCATAAATATGTACAAATATTACGTATCAATTTTTTTTTAAGTAGCAGCAGTGGTGATAGTGTAGTGGATAAGACAAGTTAAAAAGCCTTGCTCTGTTGTGTGCCACATGCCACTCAGCTTCGGTAAAACACAGGGACAACCCACCTGCTTCATTGCATTGCTATACCTATAAAATGAGATCGTGTAGGTAAAAGCTAGGTAAAGCGCCCAGGGCAGAACTCAGCACACACAGTAGATGCTCTAGGGACAGTATCATCATCATCATTGCTGGAGTTTAGTATACAGCTACACAGGCTGGCTCTAACTTTATAAGTAAAATAATGACTGCTTTCATTTTAAATATTAGGCTTCTTCATAATTTTACCTTCATATCCTCTCTCCATTCATTCGTACCATAGCTCTTAGAAATTTCTGGTTGGAAAATATGCATTTTTGCCATGGATGTAGCCAGACGAGTTAAAGATTGACGACCACTTCCTCCAAGTCCAACCAGCAAAGCATTTCCACCAGACTGCTTTAGAACTCGACATATTCTTGATAAATGTTCCAAAACATACCTATCATAGAATAAAAATTTTATTATACATTACAATACCAATGTAAATGTATATTTACATGTAACTATTGTTTTACTTTCCTAGAAGAATGTGACTTTGCCGTCCCATATGTTACTATTCCAATTTTAAAGAGTTTACTATCAAAAAGTGTGTGATTTTTCAAAAGTAGTTACAAATGGATCATTTGATGTAGGGGAAAACTACAAGTTCAAATTCAGGAAGTTTAATATGTAAGTTATACAAATAAAATATTAAACTGCTTATCGGGCAGTATATTAACATTTTTATTAAATATGTTTCTTTGGTCTCTTAAGATTTCTATGTGAGAAATAAAAGATCAGTTACCTATAAAATAACAAATTTAGAAAAGGAACTTAGCTTCACTGATAACTAGGTTACTTAAAATTAATCCAATAATGACATACCATTTCACTCTCCTTAGACTAGAAAATTTTACAATATCTGTCAATCCTAAGCATCAGCAAAGGTGAGGAAAAATGGAAGCTCTCAAAAAAAAATCATTTTTAAAGACGTTTTGGCAAAGTTTAGTAAAGTTGAAGATGCTTATATGACACGATAATCCCACTTACGAGAAAATAGCCTAGAGAGATTCTCACACATGTACCCAAAGAGACACGCATGTGAATCTTCAAAGCCTTTTTTATAATAGCAAAAACTAGAAGTCACCTAAAATTTGTCTCAGAAGAATGACTACATTGTGGTAGAATTATATAATGGAATGCAATATAGTAGTAAATATTCATTTTTCTGTGACTCTCACAATATGGAATAAGAAACTAACAGAGGATTGTATCTAGTATTATACCATTTATAAGCAGTTTTAAAATATGAAAATAAGACTGCATATGTATTTAGGAATATACTCATGTTTCTTAGAATTTTTACCATACAAGTTTCTTTTTACTACTGCACGTGTGACACAGGATGCAGGAGAGAGGATGGCTACAACAGGGAACTTCAAATACATTACTAATATTTTATGTATTATGCTGGATAATGGGTACAAAGTTATTCACTGTATTTTTCTTTACACCTTTTGGCACATTTAAAACATTTCTTAGTAATATTTTATAGATAGCAATTACTATCATCAACACCAAACATAGGTACCTAAAAATGACAAGATTCATTCTTGTTTTGTGAGTTTGATTATACTCATCTAAGCACTGGTCCACAACATCATTAAAATGATGAATATTTGGAATTTCAATATAAAGTCTCTCATCTCCTTCAAGGTCAGGATTCATATAATCACCAAACATGAGATTTCTTAAGTCTTCTTCAGTTACCTATAGAAAAGAAATCAACAAATTACAAAACATAAAACATTTAAAAATAAATGTAAGAAAACATACAAAATTTTTGTTTCATCCATGTTATAAAATAATTTTTAAACATTAGGGTAGTAAATAATATACTTATAAAATTAATACCTGATATTATATCCTTAGAAAATAAAAAGAAGAGTAAGATTTTCTATCACATATGTTTTGTTGTTGTTAGGCTACAGAAGTCATTCTGGGTGACTCCCATTTATTGAGTAGTTATTAAGTGATAGTCATCATGTTAAGTGTTTTATATCTATTATATCACTTATTCCCTATCACATAAGGTGTTATTCTTCAAGTAACTTCTATGTTGCATACATTCCTATGAAGATAAATCTTCTCAAAACACCTATCTACAAGGAAAGCTAAGAGAATATGTTCATTAAAAAATGATTTTTAAAAAGATAACGTTAACAATCCGTGTATTATACTGCTTTAACTTGATATGTTCTTAATCACTGTACTCACTGGTGCATTTTGTTTCCTCAAATGTGAAAAGATACTGTCAAATGATTCTTTAAAATGGTCCTTTATAACAGTTTTAGTTAACTGGAACAGCCATCTTCGATCATCATCATTAATCAGGCGGTCGTAAAACACTCGGAGAACCTCATGGACAAACAGACGGATCATAGTGTGTTTGCTCTGCACAGAGTCTCTTTCGATGAGTAAACAGCCGCGGATGACACGTGAAAAATCACGCAAGTTGAAAGTATAATGGGATTTAGTGGGAGTGGGTAAAAGATTTTCCATGGATTGTTTATATATCTGAATATGAAAAAAGCAACAAAGCAAAAATAAAATGCTTATAATCAGCAAAGTCATATAACCAATGGAATGTTATACAAAATATTTGCTCTATCGGATTATATTGGCTTGGGCTGGACGCAGTGGCTCACACCTGTAATCCCAGCACTTTGGGAGGCTGAGGAGGGCAGATCACCTGAGGTCAGGAGTTCAAGACCAGCCTGGCCAACATGGCAAAACCCCATCTCTACTAAAAATACAAAAATTAGCTGGGCATCATGGCGCACACTGTAGCCCCGGCTACTGAGGAGGCTGAAGCAGAAGAATGGCTTGAACCTGGGAGGTGGAGGTGGAGGTTGCAGTGAGGCAAGATTGCACAATTGCACTCCAGCCTGGGCAGCAAAGGGAGACCATTTCAAAAAAAAACAAAAAAGATTACATTGGCTGAGAAAATTACGTAGTACTAAGCCTAGCATGGCATATATGTTTATTTTGGCTTATAGCACTCAGCCAGGCATCATGAAGTTAAGGGAACTTAATATTATCGGATTCCATCCAAGCCCATCCAAATAGAAACCCCATCTCTACTTTTATTTTCTAGTTTTTATGGTTGTGCCATTTAAAGGTGAATAATTTTCGTGATTAAAAAGCAAAGCCTCTGGAATGTCAAATTACTTGCTCTAAGTCATATAGCTAGGAAATAGCAGTCAAGGCCCACCCAAGTTAGATTCCCTGATTTCAAATTCTGTGATCTTCCCATTCTCTGGTCTTCTGAACAGTTTCTCTGACACCAAAGATCAAAGTAGACAGTTAAGTAGGAAACAATGTTAAAAAATAAAATAAGGGCCAAATGAGGGCAATATATAATACCAAAACATTTACACTGCTTTATTGACTGACCTCCATAGTCCCATTTACTATCTGGTTCCCAATTACAAAGTACTCTGGAGGAAATTCACGAGTTCTAAGGTAGAATGCTACAATAGACGAGAAGATTCGGACCATCGTTTCATCACTGAAAGAATTAATACTGCAGACGTTGAAATGTCGAATAAAACGGGGAGGAACTGGATTTCTTCCACCACCTGGAGGGCCCATTGCAGCAATCAGCTCTATGTCCACCAGCGTGATTTTACTTGTGTCCTTGAGGTCGTACCTTAGAAAGCACATAAAAATTTTTTAGATAATCTGTTATAAAGATAGAATGAAATATAGATCTCCCAAGAAATTTAATCAGATTTTAGCTTCTCTAAAAGGAATAACTTCAGATAACACTTTGAGGAGGATAGAATTTTTTTAAAAGCAGAATTTCATTCCTCCCCTCCATAACTGATTCTGATACCCAGATTCTGAGTATCTAGAATGACCCTTCCTCTTACTTTTCCCTCTTTCCTAATAGTCTTCCTTGCAGATTGGCTATTTCTCCTTTCTTATTCAACATCTAGAAGCACAGATGAGTGATCAGTCCTATTTGTAGCTGTTTATAGATAAGGTGACTGTGTATCTCATTTTACCTAGGACAAGTCTGGCTTGTGCTTGTTGTATTGAAGCAATTATTTATAACACTCCCCTTTTACTCTCAGAAATGTCACAGTTTGAACACTAATTTATATAGTCTAACTGGTTATAGCAATGTCCTGATTTTCTTTTTCTCATCTCAAACCGTAACTTCAGAGTGGATAAGGATGTCTAAATAGGACCTATACATTTTGTTATAGAAAGGGACCTATTAGGGAAAAATGAATGAAACAATTGAGTTGGAACCACTCAGAGTAAAAGGTTGCTATTGTCAATAAGCCATCAAGTCTTTAGTATTGAAGCTATTGCACACCCAGACACCCAGACATACACATACAAAGGCTGGGGGAGGATTCTATCTAGCCAGTCCTTAGGCTAAGAGCATGCTAGAAAGTACGAAAATAAGGTTTTTGGTAACAACCCTAATAATCATCAATGGAAGATCAGCTAAGTAAATTATGGTGACATCCACAAAACTAATATTAAAAGCCAATAAAATGAATAAGTAGACAAAGATGCACTGATATGGATATTCCAGATAAATATGTAAGGGTAAAATAATTTATAAAACATCACATGTAATATGAGCCTATTTTCAAACGTAAAAATATATAGAAAAAAATTAACTCAGGAGGGTGACTATCTCCTGAGATAATCACAGTGACCATCTCAACAATGGGTATCTCCTGGGAGCAGAATTCCTATAGCCTATAATAACAAAAATGCATCTGTAAAATATGACTTAGCTTTGAAATTAGTCTGCCCTTGAATTCCGAGGCAGGTGGATCACGAGGTCAAGAGATCGAGACCATCCTGGCCAACATGGTGAAACCCCGTCTCTACTAAAAATACAAAAAAAATTAGCTGGGCGTCGGGGTGTGTGCCTGTAGTCCCAGCTACCTGGAGGCTGAGGCAGGAGAACTGCTTGAACCCGGGAGGCGGAGGTTGCAGTAAGCCGAGATCGCGCCACTGTACTCTAGCCTGGCGCCTGGCGACAAAGCAAGACTCTGTCTCAAAAAAAAAAAATCATGGCATATTGAGGAATAGAAAAGTACATTTAAGAGAAGGAAATGAATTATTCATCCTGACTAAAAGGTGATGTATCTTGCAGGTTAGAAACGAATGACATCACCATAAATTGATGTGGGCAGAATGGAAGGGTTATCCATGAAATTGCTGTCAAAACCAAGCCATCTCAAAGATATGGTTGGTAGTCCCAAGCAGCCATAGAAAATATAGAGTTAAACATGGTAGAAAAATCGGGTGCTGATTATGATTACTTAGGTGGGACACTACCCACAAATTTTTGACTTGGGGGAATGGTACTTTGAAGGATGTAATCTGTAAGTTATTTTCAATAATTAAAACTAATAGTTGAAGTGTGGGTATATCCCATTTTATTTCACTGCACTTCATTAAGCTTTGCAGATACTGTG